TTTGAGACAAACCATGTTCTGATAGTACATTCCAGGAACATGGAATATGGCAGTCCAAAGCACTTGGACTAACAAAAACTATCTGGGACTAACAACTAACCAAATTTGTATTAGGGAAGGGACACAGAAATCTGTTCTTACTGGAGAAGGAAGGGAGCATGAAAAAGTAGGAAATAAACATGTAGATATTTCACAGCTGTGGATTTGGAATCATGAATCCAATTTTTTTTCTCCAAATTGCTTCCTTGGAATCTTCTGTGGAGACTTGTTTAGAGGGCAAGGAGTATAGTTTCTGGAAGGAAAAGAAAAAGACTGTGAGAAATGAAAGAGCATGGAAGATTCTTCTGTTAAAAAAAGTTATTTACAAGAGATAGCAACAGAAAACTGCTAGTGTAGAACAACAGCAGTACTTGTAGAAATTAACTCAACCTTAATGATAAAGCATTTTCTCAGAATGAATTTCTTAGGCTTTATCATAATTCCATCATTTTTGTTGGTTTCATACTTAAGTCTTAATTATTTTAATTAGACAGTATTATTTTGGTTTCTCCTTTGAGTGCCTGTGTTTCATTTCTAGATGCAATCTGATCAGCCTTTATTATGTGATTGGGAAACAAAAAATGGTCAAATTCAGTATAACATTTAGAGAACTACTTTATAGTCTTTGTAATTTTTCATCTTAAGATCCAGTGAGTAAGGAAGTAATGGAAGGGTAAAGGCTGGCTTCCTAAAAGAGCAGTGTGCTGAGAAATCTTGTGTATTTTGCATCCTGAGACCATTCCAGGTTCAACAGTGCACACCTCATGTGGAGGGAATTCCCTTTGTATGGAATAGCAAGCCACTAGTCTGCTATTACTGAAAAGTCGGCCACAGAAGTAGCAATTCAGGCTGTTTTTATTGTATCACTCATTTTTGTCAATGGTTTTGTCTATGTGCTGTTTTAGTGTAGTTTTCCGAAGTTGCATTACTTTTTCAGAAAGACTTTATAAGTTTATATATTGATGGTGCAGCAGATAAATGTTTGAATTTTAAATTGTTTTGAAATGGAGCACTGAACAGTACATCTGGGAACATGCTAGACTCTGGTTTGGCATAATTTATTTATTCAAAGCACATTTAATGTTTTGAAGATGGTAGAGAAGTAACTTGGTTCTTAGAAGTAGAGTATCAGTGGTGTCAGCTTATTTTCTCTTTGACAGTAATTATTTTGGCAGATAAATTGACAGCTCTCTACCAGGTTTTGTTGTGTAATACTAGATGGGTTTGTCACATGGGTTGTTGGGGTTTAGTTCATAAACTTTTGTGTTCTTCTAATGTCAAAGAACATTGCAACTATGAATAAACAAATTTGATTTACTCTTGCTGCAATTTTATTTCACTTGTCTATGGTTCCATTATTGTTACTACCTAATAAGATCAAAGCATCTAGACCTATGTATGTGATTTAAATCAGGCATGGGCACATGATCAAATCATTATAGATACAGCCAGACCTAGTTTATGATGTAAAACTGCCAGTTGGGTGGGTGGATGTGCTATAAAGCTTAGCATAGTGCTTATGTAGGACTGTAAAATCTGCTAAGGCACATGGAAGTATTGCTCCATGTGTTTTATCAGAGTAAGGATTAAATGAACTTCCAAAGAGTTGAATACTAAAACTGTTCTTAAGTGGGGAAAAGAAACAAACCCTTCCTGCAGCCCCAGGTGCTTTAATAGAGCACTTGTTTGAATCCTTTCCATGACACAAACAGATTGTGCCATTCTATATTTGTACATCTCCTGTAATTCTGGACTTTCATTACCATAGTATACAAGAATTTACAGTACTCAAAATTCAGAATAAAAACATGTTAAACTCCTTTATGGTGTTCATATTATCCTGTGCTTTTCTATGCAGGTAATTACATTTTAATCATTAAATGAAGTGCAACACTTCATACTGGCTAGAATGACTGCTATGCATTTTTAATGGTTTCTCTAAGTGTCATTAAGTGATAATTTGAAAAAATAAACAAACAACCAACAGTTTACACAACTGGTTATTAATGAAGCCTGTTCTTAATTTGCTTAAAGGATCAACAAAAATTGTGGTATGAAATGTTGCAACAGATTGAATAGGGTTTTTTTTACATAAAACATTTGAATGTTTTATGGATTTTTTTAATGTCCATTCTAAATACATACATTCCTATCAAGAGTAAAATGGCATGTCTTTTTTAGATTAAGAAGTTGATTACCAATATTGTTGAGTGGCTTTTCTGTCCTGTGCTGAAACATTTTAACTTATATGCCTTCTGCTCACTATGCTAAAAAGTCTGGCTTTCAGTGACAAAGCACAGAAAAAGATTTGTAACCTGTTTTCCTCGTCTTGCTTTTCCTGAGCCTGTGCATGGCAAGGCAGATTTGGAGTTGCAGTGGCCAATCATTTCCTAAGTATCATTGCTAGATTGAGGGCAAATATGCCTGAGGTTTCATCCAAGTGATCACAGAAGGGAAGTTTTTTGGGTTTTTTTGGTGAAGAATTAATTACTCTGAAGACTGGAGAAATGTGTAGATATTTTATTAGTATTCTTGCCCCTCCTTCAAACAGTTATGTAATATTTGCAGTTTGGCCAAACTATAATATTGCCATAGAAAATGATGTTTGAATTCATGGCATGGGAACAGTGTAGAAATAGCAAATAATGGGTATTTTTGGTTTGTCAGGTGAGCAGAAAAGATAGTTTGTAGGAAAAGCATGCAGTTAGTGTCATTATCCACAATGTTCATGTTTTTTCACCAAAATGTTTCCTCTGAAGTAAAATGCTATGCGCACCTTTATTTTTGGGTTGTTGTTTTCAAGTGAAACTCGGTTTTTAAATAAGTGAATGCTAGTTTGTCAATCAAATAATTATCTAATTAAATGATGCAAATAAAAGTCATTTGTTCAAAATTTTTAATTTCATGATATTGAGTATCATGGACTATATTTTGAAGCTAGAAGGAATGAGAGAGGATTCAAAAATTAACAGTGAATTCTGCAGGGGTATTGCTTGAAGAATTACTCAAGTTTTTTCTTGGATTAACTGCTTGCTTTTTCAAGTCCTTGTTTAGGAATAATTTATTTTAAAAGGCCTGGCACATACTTAAGTTCCATACATTTTCATGTCTGAATCCTCGGAAGCAGTTTGCAGTGCATAATGTGTGTACGTAAATATTTTGCATGTTGATTCATTTATGTCCTTTTTTTTTTTGTGGTACAGTCATTAAATACCTGGGACCAAGCTACAAATAGCAGGTTGCTACATCTGTTTTATCATCTCTCCATTGTAGGTATTCATGCTGCTTTAATATGCTTGTGCAGCAAGCACCCATAGCAAATAAATTTGCGTTTGAACATTTTATGCTTTTATTAAATATTCATTAGATGAGATGCAGGCTTCTGCTTTGAGTGCATTGAAACCTCAGAAAATGAATTTTTTGTGAGCCCTTAATGCACCATGAGGCAAGGTGTTCCTCCTCTGCTGAAACATGTCAGCGTCCAGGATGTGTTGCTATCAGTTGCCATACAGCTGAATCTTGCTTTGAGCTGTAAAGAGAGCAGAATTGATAGGCAGGTGTTTTGGGATTTTTACATTGTAGTCTAGTATTATTTAGCTTCTGCCACAAAAAACCCCCACAAGGCCCCTGGGGGAAAAAGGAAAAAAAAAAAAAAAACCAAAAAAACCCACCAAGAACTCTTCATCAAATCTGAGAGAAAGCACTTTGAGTAAACAAAGAAAATAACTCCTGAAGTATTATTGCAAAGTAAAGTAAAAGTAAGATGCAATCATTGTTTGGTGCCTTATCTGATGTATTTTCCAGTAGTGTCTGAACTTTATGTAGGGAGAAGCATTTTGAAAATCCAGAATCAAAGTTACTGTATAGGCACAACAGAAGACAAATACACCCAAGGACTTCTCAAAAAAAACCTGTGTCTTCACACCTCTGTCATGTAATAGTCTCTTAAATTCACACTGTTATTCCCTTGATCTGTATATTTATGCATATGTGTTGGGTTTGTTCTTATGGTATCACACTTGTGTGTAGCTCTGTCCTGGAGATTTTTGTTCCCAAGGATGAAATTAGATAGCCTCAAGTTTTCACACCTTCATTCTTAGACTTAATAAAACCTGCAGGTTTTCATTGGGATTTTACTAACTTATTATTAATGAAACAGAGAATGTTTGCCTTTTTATAGCTCTAAATTCCATGCACCTCTAAACAGATAATTTTTGGCTTTCTTGTAGCTTTAAATTCCTTACATCTCTAGTGTAAGCTCCATGTATATTTTAGTGTTAAGATTTTAGGAGAAATGCAGTCTTCATTAATATTTGCTTTTCTGAGATTGAAAGCTCAGCTATTTATGTTTCACCTTCAGGATAAACTAAGAAAAATAACCTGTATATCACCTACTAGCTAGTAAAAGTACATTCCAGGAAAAAAAAACAAAAACAACTGTTCATTTACTGATTCATTTTGACTTGCTATCTGGAACAGTGCTGTATAAAGCTTTAAGGTAGATTCCTAAATGAATGCTTTGTAGCTTTAGTTTATTCAAGACCTTAGGCAGAGCTACTGGAAGTATCTAGGTTACTGATTCTTTTTGAGGTGTCATAATTTTAGTGAAAGTTGGGAAGGAAAAGCATTTTGACTAGAATAATGCTTTGGTCTGTACACCTGAATGTTATATATTTAGATGTGTTTCAGATCAGATTGCTTAAATATTATTAATACAATTGCTGGTGCAGTTTATTTTCCAAGTTTGTGTACATGACAATTCTGTTAGAAAATAGTTTAAAAATATGTTCACGGTAAATCTCATTTATCTCCTTCCTTCATGGATTTTAAGTGTTTTAAATGAATTATTTTTTGATACAGTGCTTACACTAGTATTGTTAAATTAGCTATGTAAATAATTCATGCAAGTTGCCTTTAATTAAGTGCCAGCGATTTATTGTTTCTCTCCTTTTGTTTGCCAG